TATATATATATATATATATTCTAATTAATCAATTTTTTTATAAATAATAAATAGTTAAGTAATAAAAGGGCTTATTTGTAAATACCAAATTTAACCCTACTAAAACTAATAAGTTCATCTAACGTTCAAATTTCAAAAAAGCCGAAAAAACCGGCCTGCTAAAAGCCAACTTGCAGGCTTTGGCTCATATCGGAATCAGACTGATGCACATATATAAACACATAATTAAAATAAATAAAATAAATTATATAATATTAAATTAAAAAAAGCCACCCGAAATTAGCCAGCATAATCTGCCAACATTCATTGTCTCCTCATCTACGAGGCATCGCCCACACCACGACAAAATATAAAATTATATTTAAAAAAATAAAATAAAATAAAAAATATCTAAATTCTGAAAAAGCAGCGCTGCTCAGAGTTACAGAAAAAAAGAAAAATAATTATTAAAAGATGATACACTGATCGCCCCTGCTTCGGCTCACAGGCGCACTATAGGTGGAAGTCGAGACATAAAAGCCATATTTCACATGCGAACGTCCCGCATATAAAGCAAACAAAAAGGAGAAATGCTCTCATCTTTTATTAAATTAATATTTATATCATTTAATTTTTAATTATATCAATAATAAACAAATAAAATTAAATAAATATATCTAGTGTTACTCTGTGTTATTCAGGTGTTATTATGTTTTGAAAATATTTCCTGTAAATTAATAATATTTGAATAGCACACAACACCACCTAAATAACACACAATAACACCTGAATAACACGGGAGGAATATTCTCTTATATTACTGGTAGATTTTTTTTTGTTTTGTCAACTTCATATGATGTGATTTCATTGGACTTCGCACGTAGAGTTATGTGATATGAATATTTAAGTGTTTGAGAATTTGGTCGGAGCACGATAGCAGAGAAGCAGCTCAGGAACATCTCAAAATTCAAAACATCATTTGCAAATGTAAAAAGGATTATAGATTAGCAGATAATTTCGAGCTTTTGCTGGACTAAAATGTAATTATTAGTCAGACTCCACCTGGTTCTCTTCGCGCTCGAATGGGCTCCGTTTCCTTCTCCGTTTCGGTCTTCTTTTTATCGGCGGCCCCCCGCCTGCATCGCCGCCCGGGAGGAAGACGATGATACTCTATCCTTCCGCGGGTGGGAGAAGAGCTGACCGAATCCGAACAGGGAGACGGGCTTCGAAGATCTCCTGAGGGAGCAAACAGGAACGTTTAGCACGGAAGGGACCCTAACGTGTGCAGAGAAGGATCTCTCCATTCCACGGAATTTAGTCCTCGGTCTGCCATTGAAGCTTCCAGGGCTACTTGAGCTTCTTTCCAGGCCTTGAAATATGATCCTACCGGACGGGTCCATGCGCGGACTATCGACGGAAACCCCACGCGCAGGAACCAGTGCGGCGGGGTTCCGCCGCCCGCCGGATCGGGCTCAGGCTAACCCTGGCACGAAAACGATCTTCAGAGACGGCTGGGCGGGATCTGGAGATTCGAACCCTTAGCGGATTTCGAACC